TTTTTTTAATCAAGGTAGAAGAGAGATTGAAATAACCAACACAGGTACAGTTTGTATCTGCTTCTCATTCCCCTTTCCGCAGCTGTGGAAAAGTTTGTTTATGCACACCGGGATGTCCCAGGAATCCTCTATAGAGATCTCCAAGAAACTTTCCTGGAGGTGCTCTGTAATCCTCTGCTGAAGGTTTCTTAGGAGGGCTGCCTTGTTTCTTCTCTCCTGGTAGGAAACTTTTTCGCACCAATCGGCAATTATTTCTGCAGACACCATAGCAGCACAGAGGCGAGAAGCATATGGACCCAGTCTGCAGCCGCACTCATGCAGCACCAGCACTCTTGCATCCTCGGTTACCCTTAGGAGAGAGATATCAGCTGCTATCACCCCTGCCTGTGGAAAATGGAGCCAGTATTCAGAATAGTGCTCCTAGGCGCTGGTAGAGATACCCCTCTGAAACCCATCCCACCCTTTGTCCCATCTTGCCCCCCCCCCCGGACTGAGCTCACAATGGCTGGGGCTCTCACCCCACAATTTCCAGCATAGCTTCCAAAGATAGATGCATATGTATATGATATATAATGCATATTTTTAGTTCACTGGCAGGATTAATCTACCACTACAACTACACCACTTTCATTTCCTCTTCACAGGAAACTGGTCCTGCAACAGTGCAAGGTGTTAGAATGGTGCTTAGACTTGCTCATTTTATAAGCATTACAAGCATGCCAGGGCATTGCAACAGCTAAATGTCAGATCTAGTGCGGACAAGCCTTCAGAAGCAATGAAGGCACACACCCCTTCCAAGTAGGTGAAAAAGTCATACTTCTACCTGCACTCACCACCTTGCAGCCTCTTTGCACAGAACTGTTTAGGAGTCTGTGACATTCCTTCCAGTGCTCAGTGAATCAATCTCTCCCTTCTCCCAAACGTCTTGGCCCAGCCATCCAGCCCACAACTGACTTCCCAACACAATGGTGGATATCCATTGTCTTAGTGCATCTCCATCAATCTCATGGTGGCCTTCCACACTTCTGTTCTGTTAGTCTGTCTCCTGGGGATTGTAGTTGTTTGGGGATTATCCCATCCCATATATTCATGGACTCCCCGCCCTTCTCCCTAAATGTACTGTTTATTTGGTGCAAAACCCAAACTTGTTACAGGCAGCAATCCAAAGAAGCAACAGAGCTGCTGCCCTGGCAACAAAATTCCTCACCAGCCTCAGTACAGTGCCAGAGCTTCCCTTCCACTGCCTGCATACTAACTCCACCCACCTGCAGGAGGCCCAGAACTTACAAAAACAAAAGTAATTAAAAAAAAGCTTTTAAAATTAAAATAATTCCCTTCCCAGTCCCTGCATATGATTGGTCATTCATTTCTCTCTCGTTACATTGGCTGGAACATCAGGTTGACAGGATAATTTCTAAAAATCTGTGACTGCCAGGGCCAAACTTGTTAGATGTTATCTAATTATGGCAGTTTTGGCACTTCAGGGCTCCTGAGTCTACCAAATCCAACTGCGTGGAGCAGTGGAGGGTCATGGACTGGGAAAGGGGAAAGACAACAACACTGAACAGGAGATACTTCAGGGAGCTTTCTTCCACTCTGAATGGAAATGACCTATGAGGAAAGACTGAAAAAACTGGACATGTTTAGTCTAGAGAAAAGATGGCTGAGGGGACACATAACAATCTTCAAATATATTAATGGCTATTATAAAGAGGATGATGATCAGTTGTTCTTCATGTCCACCAAGGGTATGACAAGAAGTAATCAGCTTAATTTGCAACAAGGGAGATTTAGGTTAGATATTAGGAAAAAAAATTGATGATAAGGATAGTTAAGCAATGGACCAGGTTACCCAGTGGGGTTGTGGAACCCCCATCATTAGAGGTTTTTAAGATCATGTAAGAAAACAAGAACGGCCATACTAGGTCAGACCAATAGTCCATCTAGCCCAGTATCCTGTCTTCCAACAGTAGCCAATGCCAGGTGCCCCAGAGGGAATGAACAGAACAGGTAATCATCAAGTGATCCATCCCCTGTCGCTCATTCCCAGCTTCTGGCAAACAGAGGCAAGGGACACTATCCCTGCCCATCCTGGCTAATAGCCATTGATGGACCTATCCTCCATGGACTTATCTAGTTCTTTTTTGAACCGTGTGATAGTCTTGGCCTTACAACATCCTCTGGCAAAGAGTTCCACAGGTTGACTGTGTGTTGTGTGAAGAAATATTTCCTTTTTTTATTTGTTTTAAACCTGCTGCCTATTAATTTAATTTGGTGACCCCTAGTTCTTGTATTATGAGAAGGAGTAAATAACACTTCCTTATTTACATTCTCCACACCAGTCATGACTTTATAGACTTCAATCATATCCCCCCTTAGTCGTCTCTTTTCCAAGCTTAAAAGTCCCAGTCTTATTAAATCTTATTAATCTCTCCTCATACGGAAGCCATTCTATATCCCTAATAATTTTTGTTGCCCTTTTCTGAACCTTTTCCAATTCCAATATATCTTTTTTGAGATGGGGCGACCACATCTGAACGCAGTATTCAAGATAGGGGCATACCATGGATTTATAGAGAGGCAGTATGATATTTTCTGTTTTATCATCTATCCCTTTCTTAATGATTCCCAACATTCTGTTAGCTTTTTTGACTGTCACTGCATACTGAGTGGATGTTTTCAGAGAACTATCCACAATGACACCAAGATCTCTTTCTTGAGTGGTAACAGCTAATTTAGACCCCATCATTTTATATGTATAGTTGGGATTATGTTTTCCAATGTGCATTACTTTGCATTTAACAACATTGAATTTCATCTGCCATTTTGTTGCCCAATTACTGAGTTTTGAAAGATCCTTTTGTAGCTCTTCATAGTCTGCCTGGGACTTAATTATCTTGCGTAGTTTTGTATCATCTGCAAATTTTGCCACCTCACTGTTTACCCTTTTTTCCAGATCATTTATGAATATGTTGAATAGGACAGGTCCCAGTACAGACCCCCCGGGGGACACCACTATTTACCTCTGTTCATTCTCAAAACTGACCATTTATTCCTACCCTTTGTTTCCTTTCTTTTAACCAGTTACCAATTTATGAGAGGATCTTCCCTCTTATCCCACGACAGCTTACTTTGCTTAAGAGCCTTTGGTGAGGGACCTTGTCAAAGGCTTTCTGAAAATCTAAGTACACTCTATCCACTGGAATCCCCTTGTCCACATGCTTGTTGACCCCCTCAAAGAATTACGTAGAGTGGTGAGTCCAGATATTCTTAGTCCTGCCTCAGCATGAGGCAGCTGGACTAGATGACTTCTCAAGGTCCCTTCCAACCCTGCATTTCTATGATGCTATGACATGTGAGAATACCATCTCTCAATATCTCTCATTGGAGGATGGATTTTTCAGCACCTTTTCTAATTGCCAGGTCCTCTTTGACTGTACCAAATCACACCTCACATACCTCTTGACCTCCATGTGTATCAAAGATAACATTCTCCCTACCCCTTCAACTAACTACTGAGCTATAGAAAATACTATAATGCCATAAATTACGGAAACATTGATTTAATAAGCTGACGTTTCCTCATTACTTTAGACTATTTTTCTTTTCTTTTTTTTCATTTTCATATAAACCTGAACCATTTATTTCATTATGCTGATATGATTTATATGTATGAGTCTAGTTTGGATACTTTTATATAGTCAAAGCATCTGTCAATTCAATGAAATAACATTTATGGATCAAATTTTCTGACGTAATTTCCTTCCCTTAAAACAACAACGAAACTAAGGCTTACAGGGGAGACTGCCTTTATTTAGAAATGTTCATTAACATTAATATTCATGTTTTATATGATGCCTATAACCTAACCCAGTATAAAAGTGGGTCTTCTGCCCAGCTAAGATTTTTGCATGTTCATTACTTCAGCCTACAGTAAATCACACAGACATTTAATATATTGTTTTGTGTCCCCTGTGGTTTATTTGTAAGGATATTTCAATATAGTAAATTCAACATGTACAGTTATGAGTGTCTAATTTTAAACTGGGTCATTAAGACTCTATTGGCTCTGGAGCTTTTTATTGCTGCCTCAAGCAAACTGACCTGCCAGCTTAAGTGTTGTAGTCCTGTGAGTCCCCGGATATTAAACGGACAAGGTGGGTGAGGTAATAACTTTTATTGCTCCAACTTCCCTTGGTGAGAGAGACCAGCTTAGGAGCTTATAAAGAGTGTTTCCCAGACCTGAAGAAGAGCTCTGTGTAAACCAGGGGTTCTCAAACTGGGGGTCGGGACCCCTCAGGGGGTCACGAACTGTCAGCCTCCACCCCAAACCCCCCGCTTTGCCTCCAGCATTAATAATGGTGTTAAATATATTAAAAAGTATTTTTAATTTATAAAGGGGGTCACACTCAGAGGCTTGCTGTGTGAAAGGGGTCACCAGTACAAAAGTTTGAGAACCACTGGTGTAAACTCCAAAGCTTGTCTCGCTCACCAACAGAAGGTGATTCAATAAAATATATTGTCTCTCACCCACCTTGTCCCACCAATATAAGGCACTTCTGGCGGGAGACTGGGAAGGGGATATACAGACACCTCCCTTGCTATGCTCCTGTCAGAGCTTCTTTCCTGGCAGCAGCAGTCACTAAAGATCTGCCAGTGATTTAGGGAGACCCTTGATCAAATTCCCTCAGAAAAAATAAACAGGATTCTGCCTTGAGCTGCGCCCAGGCGAACTGGACCCTAAAGAATGAGCACCGCACCATGAATTGTTCCAGTGGGCACCGTGCATGCCTGAGATCAAGGGCGCACACTCCTTTGAGGGGGTTGTAGACCCGCTGAGAAAGCCAGCCAGTGTCTTGGCTCTGCCCCTCACGTCGGTGCCCCCAGCCGCACCCCCCAGCTGGAATGGCAGCTGAGGTGGTTTGGCGGCCGCGTGTACACCCATGATTTGTGTTTCCTCGGCAGCTTTTCAAGTCAGCCAGATGCGGGAATAACCGTGCGAGAGGCGGCCCCGCTGCTCTGGGGGCAGAACCACTGAAGGGCCACAGCCTGGGAGCGCTGCCTGGCGAGGGGGGCTCGGCGGGGGTCGGGGCAGCAGGGGCGCGCCCTGGCCGCCTGAGCGCACCGCGGCGGGACCGAGCCGCCTGGGAGTGCAGCGTCCGAAGAGCAGCGCCCCGAGGGAACCCGCGGCCACCGCCGCAGCATCTGGCGCCTCGCTGCTGGGTTTCCTCCTCCCGCCGCCTCCTCCTCCCACAGGCGGCGGCTGCTCCAGCTGCCGGGACTGGCCGCGCCGCGCGCTGCCTCTGGCTCAGAAGCGACCCGGGCAGCAGAGCAGCCGCAGCGAGCAGCGAGGGCTCCCCCGCCGGCCGGCCGGGCCAGGTGAGTGCCCGTCTCTGGGGGGCGGGAGGGGAGGCACAGACGCGCCGTCTCCTCTGGTCGTTCAGTTACGGGCTGTCCAAGGGCTGCAAAGTTTGGAGTGTCCCGCCGGGGTCCGCCCCGAGCGGCTGGGCTGAGGTGAGCGAGAGGGACTCGCTGGGGATGAAGGGACCTGGCTTCCTCCTCCGGCACGTCTTGCCCCGTCCGATGGCAGGGCAGTGGGGGAACGCGGGTCCCGCTGGGTGCGGGGCGGAGAAGTACCTGGGGGAAAGTTGCCCGCTCAGGAGGCTGGTGCGATATGTCTGGGGCTGGCCGAGCTGCGGCGGGGGAATCTTGTTTAGCAGCCCGGCTCCTAGGTGAACCGGGGGGATGTGCAGCCCCTTCCCGCGGGCAGCAGGCAGGATGTACTGTACACCTCTGTCTTCACCCGAGCTGGGAAAAAGCCTTGTTATTATCGTCGGGGCCAAAGCCCAAGGCGCCTCTTCAGCTTTTTCCTCACTTATTGCGTGGGAAATGTAACTTTTGCCAGGCTAAAGGAGGAGAAACTAAATAAGAGCCCCGGGATCTGGCCCTGAGAAAAGAAAGAAACGGAAAGTCTGCTGCGAAATAGGGCTCACAGGTGTAAACACAGCTCTCAACCTGCCAAGGACCCAGCTTTAAAATATGCCACTGTGCCCATAAGAAGAGACAATCGAGATAGCAAAGGCAGAACGTGTGGGGCCATTGATCTACATGAGTTCAGTGGGTTTGCACAAGTGTAAGTAGGGACAATGTCTTGCCCATGCCTTCAGTGGGACCAGAACTTGACCCAGTGTCTGTAATAGACATCACGCTTTGTTTAACCACTGCTCCGGAGTTGTGTTTCTGATATCAGGAATAAGCAGTGAGATGGCAACAAGTTTCATTAGGATGTGGACATAAATATTGGTTTGAAATGAGTGGCTCCCCATGTAATTGAGCATGTGTGAGAGGAACTGCTGCAAGGGGTTATTTCTGACTTTCCCTCTAATCAAGAGTGATAAAATGATTAACTTCTCTGAAGTAGCCAGTGCATTACACAATAGCACAGTGGTTCTCAACCAGCGGTCTGGGGGCCCCAATTTCAGGGGGTTCAGCAAGCAGGACCAGCGTTAGATTTGCTGGGGCCCAGGGCAGAAAGCTGAAGTCACGCCACATGGGGCTGAAGCCAAAGCTTGAGCAACTTAGCTTTGCAGGGGCCCTGTGGCATGGGGACCCAGGCAATTACCCTACTTGCTACACCCTAACACTGGCCCTGGCTTTTATATGCAGAAAACCAATTGTTGTGGCACAAGTGGGCCATGGAGTTTTTATAGAATGTATCGGGGAGGCGGTGGGAACAGCTCAGAAAGAAAATGATTGAGAACCCCTGCAATAGAGAATACCTTATTTCTGTAATGTTTTGACTGACAGGTTTTTAATGTTTGGGTAGATCAGACTTTTGAATACCTGCATCATGGCCATGTTTCTGTATTAATCACAGTAGGCCAATTTTGCTCTTAGTTACACCTGAACTTGCCCATTGTTTTCTATGGGGATGAATGGGTGTAACTGAGAGCTGAATTTAGCCCAGTATTTGTTATTGCTTATCTTTTCATGTTACATTCTGAAACAAAAATGGTGAAACAGATGCATTTTAAACAAGATATTTTGAAAGTCATCTGGGTATGGTAAGTCATTTGATACTCCAGAGGGGATTCTGTGCCAAAAAAATAAAAATCCTCCGCACAATAATTTAAAATTCTGCACATTTTATTTGTCAACTAAATCTGGATGCTCCAGCATGGCATTGGGGAGCACAGGGCACTGGCTGCACAGAGGTGGGAGATCACTGGGCAGCTCCCCTCCACCCCAGATATGGACTCAGCGGTAAGGCTGCACCCAATCCTGACACAGCGCAAGGACCTGCCTGCCCCAGAAACACCCCAGGGCCCTGCCCACCTGGTGTGGGCAGGCAGGATCCAAGTGTAGAGGAGCTTAGTGTGCGGTGATCCAGGTGTGGGTTGAGAGGATTCTGTGTAGGGCAATCTGGTGCGGGTGGCTCATTGGGGGATCCAGGTGTGTGTGTGTGGGGTCCTGGGTGCAATGATAAAGGGACTCTGCATGGGAGGATCAGGTGAAGGTGGTTGGAGCTCAGCAGGTTGGAGGGTCTGGGTGTGGGGGAGAAAGAGCTCGGCAGGGGGGTATGGGTGTGAGGGGCTCAATGGGGAGGTCCAGATGCAGCTGGTTGCGGCTTGGTGGGGTGGGGATCTCGGTGCAGGTGGTTCGTTGGGGTGGTCCAGGTGCAGCAGGAGTGGGGCTCATGGGGGGAGGTTCTGAGTGGAGGGGATGAGGCTCGGCAGGCGGGTCTGGGTATGAAGGGGTCTGGATGCACGGGGGTTGGGGGAGCAGCTCCCTGTACAGGGATCCTTCCCCCTGCAGCTGAGGAGTGATGGGTGCTGAAAGCAGCGGGGGGTGGGGGCTTTGCAGAGCTTCTTCAGCGGGGGGAGAAAACTGGGAGTGGGTCTGACTCACCCCCGGATGCCATGCAAAGAAAGAGGAAGTCCCATCCTCCCAGTCCAGCTGAACTAGCAGCTGAGTCTGGTGCAGGGTAGGAGTCACCAGCTAGGTCTTCCCCAGTCCTGCCTACTGCCCCACAGTGATTTCTCTCTCTGCTGGCTGACCTGGGCCCCCAAATCATACTGCTGGGGAGGGTCGCATGACTGCTCTTGTGGCTCCCCTTTGCGCATGCACAGTGGCACAGAATTCCTCCTGAAGTAAAAATTTGAAACTGTGTATATTGCAGCCTATCCTCTTATATAGCCTTTCATGAGGAATGATGTGCATGATAATTACTGAAACCATCTTTCCCTGAATTTAGAGAGAAAAGGTGGGTGAAGTATAAGCTTTTGAACTTACCCAGGTCCTGAAGAAGAGCTTTGTGTATGCTCAAAAGCTTGCCTCTTTCACTGGCAGAAGTTCGTCCAATGAAAGGTATTACCTCACCCACCTTGTCTCTCTAATATCCTGGGACTAACACGGCTACAACATCACCGCATTTCCCTGACTTTGTCATTTTGTTACACTGAATTCAAAGAAAAAGTTTCTCTCTTTCATCATTTAGAGACTGTATTTATAACTGTTTTTATATACAATATACAATATTTTTCTTAAACTCTTTTTATAGTGCACAGTTTTACATTCATTGTTTACAGTTTCTGGCTGCTGTATGTGTGGGGATGTTATTTTGAATTGTGCAAAGAACACTAAACAAAACAATTGTAAATTAATTTCTTAGCTTATCATCTTGCATATTCTTAAGGTGGTAGATCTGCTCAGATTCCCTTTACTGTTTTTATACCCTAAAATTATGGGCCAAATGCTGCTTGCCTTCCTTTTGTCTTTAATGTCCTCACTGGAACTATTTGCATGAGTAAGGTATGCAGGGTTTGGTCCTATGCAAGGTGACACTGGTGGTGTTTTTGTTTTGTTTGTTTGTTTGTTTGTTTGTTTAAAATTTTTTGTCAATAAAGAGTTGGAAACAGTCATTGAATTAAACCGAAGAACAGAAACAGCTAACTTTGCCATGTTGCCCTTGCATCTGAAGAAGTGAGGTTCTGACCCACGAAAGCTTATGCTCCCAGTACTTCTGTTAGTCTCAAAGGTGCCACAGGACCCTCTGTTGCTTTGCCATGTTATCATTCAAATATTACACATTGCTAAGAAAGCACACATATTGTAATTTATGGCTGAAAATTGTTTAAAGAGTGAAACATTTGAAAGATGTCCTATAATTATAAATAATATGTTAATTGGGGCCAACAAAATCTTTTCACATACATGAAGTGGCAGTTAGATTCTAATGTTAATATTTTAACTGGATCTCTATAGGTCAGATGGAACCTGTGAGCAAATTTTTCCTCCTTAGTACATTCCAAATTAAATTTCAGGATTTAGTATTTAATACCTCAATATATGTGGCTCTAGTTGGGTGAGTGGAATGAAGAAGGGACTCAATTCCCACTCTTAAATTAATTAGCTTCATTTATGCCACCTATATTGGGGTGGAGGGGAGGTTGTAGGCAGAACTCCCCTTGAATGCAGTAGTAATTTTGCCTGACTAAGAATAGAATGGCATGAGAGGAAATATAGGAAGAAGAGTTACCTTTAAGTTCTGACAGTTTTAGCTCTCAGTCTGAGACATGAGTCGCAGCCTCCACAAATATGTTGCTTTTAACATTAAACACCATATTTGGGTTATGAATGTTGTATTTTCACCTAAGAGCTAGACCAGAATGTATTTGAAGGGCAAAATGGTAATCAATAATTTTAAAGTATAGAAATATGTCTAAGGGTTTTGCTCTTATCTCAAACACATGAACTCAAAAAATATTGCTTATTTTGTAAAATCAATGTTTGATTTTTATAAAATATACAATAATAAAAGTCTTATATGAAATTATGTATTAATGCTGCTCATTTGGAAATCAGTCCTGCATTTCTTATATGCCAAAAATTCCTTCAAAGTAAATTAGAGACAAGGTGGGTGAAGTAATATATTTTATCAGACCAACTTCTGGTGATAAGACAAGCTACAACAATTTGAAGTAAATTTAAATTCTGGGTGCCCAAGGAATACAGGATTGATTATATCCTTTGTACAAAGACCAAGGGACAAATCCTGTTCTCCATGCTCATGAGCAGTACCACTCATGTGAGTGGCTGATCAGAATTTGCCTCCAAATGTAAAGTAAGGAGCCAATTCTGAAATTCTGCAGGACTTCAGTGTGAGTGTAATCTGCATCAGGACTGTGGGATCAGGACCAAGTTTTTCAGTCCCTGTATATAAAATGTGCAGGCATTTAAAAGGTTGAGAGATATTGGACTTTTCATGTGTTTATTTTAGTCCCCACTTCAGGCTTTTCCATACATCTTAATGGTTATGTGAGCTGTAACTACACAGGCAGTTCAGGTATCTGGTATATGAGCAACTCTGTGGAGTTGTT